GAAAAGACGAGGTCAACGAGCAGAGAACAGGATGTCCTGCGTAGGCAGGTCCCGAAGCATGGCCATCCTGCAGAGAAAAAGCAGCAGGCGGACGAATGCCAGCTCTTCTCGAGACGTGATGTGATACGGCAATAAGAGACTTCGAGCTTGCTCCGATCCCGGTCACGTTCCTGCGTCTCTTGCTCCATCACCTGGCCGCACACATCGTTTGCCGAAAGCACGATGAACAATTCTCCGATGGCCGGGCATCGACAATGCAAACACGTTCAAAGCAGATTCGGTTCATGACGGTCTTCAAATTTCTAGACCATAGTTGGTCCCAGAATGCTGGATGCGTTTAGGTCGCTATTCTTGTAATCTGACATGAATCGTGGGCCGCAGTTAGGCATGCCGCATGCCGGTTTCTCCAGCATTTGCTACAGGCCGGCTCGGGCTTTCACTCACTGGATGCCTAGACTTCCTCTGCTTTTGTATGGGCCGCCAAACTACAGGATCGCTACCAGGCCAAGCACCATGAAAGTCTTGCAAACCCGGATGTTTCATAAACAGGCACACTCCACACAAGCACTCTGCAGAACCAATGAACCCCAGAAGCCATACGCACTGACACCACCGCTGCCCACTTCTGGAGAACAAACGACGACTTCCACAGCAACTGCCCCATGGTGCTTGCCATTAGTGGGAAACGAACCTCCTCCTCCCCTTCCTGCTCGTCTTCTTCTATGTGCTGCCTCAATCGCAAACCAGTGAACAAAACTGGGTGTCAATGACTGGCCTAATACTGAACAGCTTTTCTGGGCCCCGGCTGCACTTGATCGAGATCTAGCTGGGGCACGGATGGAGGCCTCTGGCTGCTTGCGCTCAAACTGAAATATCAAGCACGGGCCCGACCGCCTGATGACTCGTCGTTCCTGCCGCTGCGGTAGATACCCTGCGAGCGAGCGGTGCATGTCCAACGGTTCGGAAGGTGTCGATTGCTGGACGTGATGCCAAGTCTTTTGTCACAGCTTGCTCGGCTGGCTCCGGTCAGGGAGTCTTTGACCGATGTGATGGATCGCAACCTGAGGAATGCAAGCAAGACTCGTCCTGGGCAGACTCCCTCGGCTGACATCCAAACTGCTTGCATCAAGACAAGCACATCTTGCCGAGCAGCTCCGCCATTTCGCCGTATCGAAATGTGGGCAGTTGCTGCATTCGGTGTGAAGAAAACCTTGTTGTAGCTCGCACTTGCAGACATGGCTCCGACAGTCGGATGTCCATGAAGTCGCAGATGGATGGAACACATGGAGCCGGAAAAAGTTACGGATGCATGACCCAATGAATGCGAAGTGAGAGCAAAATCCCAAAATCCACGTACTTCCCTTAGTTTGTATAGTAGCGTACATGTCTTGAACACTCGGGAGCGTCGCATGCCTCTCCGACAACACAACGCTTGTAGCTACGTTCGCCCACATACTTGCAAACGCGCAAGAATCAACCAAGAAGCGACAGGACGTTCCGTGAAGACGTTGGTCTGAGGGTGATCGGACGAACCGTCATCAGCCTCAGCATCTTACGACTGAATCATCGCGCGTGGCGAGACGCGCACGTTGCACGACTTCCTCACAGGAGGTGGATTGCATCCAGGGCACGATGCCGAGTAGGGCCTTCAGCAGCATGTCGATCAAATGGCCGTGGATCACCAGTACCACAAAAGCTCCTGCACAAAAGAAACCCTGAAAGAAAGGATCGTGAAACAATACTCGGTGAGACTCCCGTCCTGCAACATCAGCAGCGTCCTGCCGCATGGTGCAAGAATCTGCAAGACTTTCGTGGAAAAGTAAGGAGCTCTCCCATCCTTGCGCAGCTCTGCTGACCGAAGCCATTTGACCTTTCTGGGACCGTGGCCGTGGCACGGAAACGGCTGTCCATCTGAGTTCTGAAGTGCAGGTAGGGCAGCCATGAGCCATGGCAGCCATGTTGCGATCTCGGCAGCTCGCAGCCGCGCAGCTTCATCGCACTCCCAGCTCCCCCGGTACCAGCCTGGCAGGCATTTCCTTGAAGGCTTCGTTGCACTTGCACGACCGCCCAGAGCCACACCTGCACCATCTTTTGGCAACTTGGTGGTGCGGTAGGCCGGAAAGCGCTGCTCCTAGGCGTCAGTGCGATTTGAGTGAGGCGCAGATTCTCAGTCGGGTGGGTTCCAGCAGGAGAGCTAAGAATGCAAACAACTGCAAGATGATTTGCGGCTGAACACTCGACCCGTTAAACATGGATATGTGCGGTGTCTGAGGGTGCATCCAGGAGAGGGCACAAAACCTTTTCGTCCGAAGCGCCATCAGCGGGAAACGGTATCATTACTTCTTGGTACACTGCACGGAGGGGATCTCACGAGAGGCGGAACCCGATGCCTCAAGCCTCGTAAGCTGCAGAACATAAAGAACGGATGAAGCCGGGAAGAGAAACAAGAGGGAACCATCTGAACCCAGTTGAAGCCAGCCGATCTACGTCGGCTTGATACAGTAGGTGCCTCCATACCACTTGTAACGCTTGAACGCCCAATCCCCCTCGTTCCCGATGAAGTCGCAAAAAAAAAGTGGACGCAAGCCAGCAAGGAGCAATCTCTTCGGCAGTCAAACACTCTCCAGGGCCATCCCGCAGGCCCAGCCGCTCCACATAGACGCCCCCGACCTTCAGTGGCTTCGAGGCTTCTGTGGGTTTCTTGTGTCTGCAATTCTGTGCTGGTGCAGCGCTAGCAGGCTTCCCGATTGTATGATGTTCCATGAGGCTGCATGTATTTCCAGAACTTCCCGCCGTTCTGTGAAATGCCGCGCGTACTGCCCGCCTCGAAGAGATCGGGATGCACCTCCACAGAACAGGCAGAGCCCAGAGCCTGCCAAAGACAAGAACCTCTCTGTTGAGATCTGTTGAGCGCGCCGTCGTATACAGCAACGAAGTGGTCAAAGATGAGTGTCTTCTTGCGAACCCACACTCATGAAACAACAGCAAACCTCCTTGCCAGTTTCACATCGACTTGATGATCACACTTTTGTCGAGCCGCCCGAGCCAGTGGCTGGGCTGTCTGAAGCCTAGGCCGGTCAGGGCATCTAGCAACACAGGAGGACTTGCTCCATCTGGATAGACTTTCCCTCTGCATGCCAGACAATGGATCATCAATGGCGCTTCAAGACAATCTCAAGCCCCGCGACGTTCGCATGAAAGGCGACACGAAAACTTTGATCAGCCGGCTTCCCGCCAGCCTTCCAAGGGTATGTGAGATGTGTGTTGCTTTGCATCATGGTGAGACTCCCCTTCACTGGTACCTTCGTAGCATTGGCGCCAAAGTGTTGGCAACTTCCTCGGCTTCTTGCATGCCTTCGCAATGCTGGCGCGGTGCCGTCTTCATGCCTTATCCCACTATCCTGCTTCATGCAGCCCTGCGAACTTGCCTTTGTCGGTGAGTGCAGGATCCGACAGACGTTCGGCCAGCCAGCGAGCCTGCGGCGAGTGTGTCGCAGAGGCCGTCAATTGGCATGTGAGTCCCGACTTTCCCTTCGAATCCAGATGCGGCAAGCTAGTGGGCCATGAGCGGTTCCTCCACATGGCGAGAGTTATTCCTTTTCTCTCTGCTAGTGTCAGTATGCGAGGCTGCTGCAGCAACAAATAATGCAAATCACTCACAGGAAGATGCCCACACAGGCATCTGTGTTAATCCTGGTTGTACGGCCGTGCTTTACAAGCCATGCAAGAATGTCAAGCATGGAGAAAACTTTGTGTACAGCTGGATGAAGTGCTGCATGGAATGGTCGCAGTGCTACTCAGGTTGCTTACTTTGGGGGGGGCACCTCTACTACGTAGAATGTTAGTTCCTGTCGCCATTTTGAAGTGCCAGCAGCACAGCTCTGAAATCTCGGGCTGGGTGAAGGAGCCTCTGCATCACGGCGCCGCTGAGAGGCAGGGTCCTCTTCAATTAAGGAAAAAGGTCTCTTTGGGCTGCCACTTTCTCGATGCTAGACTTGCATAAAACTAGCAGTTGAGCGGCATTGCTTGACTATAGAGGAGGTGACCCAGTCAGCGGTGCGGATCACCTGCCATTGCTTCCTGTTGCTTCCTACTCCGAAGAACTGGTACCAAGGCCTCGTCAGCCACAGGCCCAAAGATTTTGGCCATCAACGGATTGTTGAGGCTCTCTCCATGCCGCACCTCCACGGGCAAGACACGGACACATCAAAAAGAACCACGGAAATTCTTCCGCCGCGCTGCGAGCAGCACATGCAGGTCGCCGTTTGCTGTGAGGGCAGAGCCCGCCATGGCCGCAGGAGCTTTTAGGGGCTTCCTGGGCTTCGGGTTTGGGGCCTGGGCTGCCAGGCCTCGGGTGGACAGCAGCTTGAGGCTCAAAGTCAGGCGATCTGGCTTCAAGTAGCAGGCGGAGACTTTTGACTGTGCACTAAGTGACGAAGCCTGTGCCGTGACGCAGCGTACAGTGAGTGCATGACCGGCTTCACGGCGACGTGAGTCCACCGGTGCGGGGACAATAAGAGATCGCAGCAGCAGCGGCTTCCGGCCAGTCTGACATTATGAGGCAAGTGGGGGCACCTTTTCACTGCTGCGGGCCTGCCGGCTTATGGGCTACCTCAAGCGCCTGAGGTGTTCCGCAGCAGCGGAACCTTCTCACTGCACTTAACAACTAAATGCACAAAGCAGTTCGCGCCAAGTAAGGGTTTCGGTGGCTGTGCAACTTTGGCCTGGATTCTTAGCCTCTGCAGAAGATCGATGTGCTGGCCGGCTTCATCTCGACTCTGCGTTGCTCCAGCCCCGAACAGAAGTAGTGTGACACACACGGCAGAAGCTTCAAGCAAGAGGCTTATGGGTTTATCGTGCTAGCTCTCTCTGTCTCATTACTGCAGAAGCCTCTGCCAAATGGAGAGAGAACTCATGACAAGCGATTACTAATCCTCCAGATCGACCGCGCTTGGAGCTGCGGAGATGAACCCTGAATGTCGAGCTAACGCACTACTGAATCACAGAGCGACTTCCACGGCGACTTCCCATCTGACGGGGCTGTTCGTGTCGGAGGAGGCTTCAAAAACCTGCATTGACACTTGCGCTTCTCAGTTGCAAACCTGGGACAATCTGCAGATTGAAAGCCACGCCTCCTCGCGTTTTGGGATGTGCAGCCTAGGCTCCACATGCTGACAGTTTACGGCGTTGACGCTTTACGTGAGCCAGGAGACGACTCCGGCCGCAACCAGGCGGAAGCGCTCCGCGAGGCTTTGCCTTTGAAGCCTGTTGGCACAACATCTTGCGAGAGGTGAAAACGATCGAGCCCGCTCAATCGCTGGGGCGGGCAGCCTTTGCCGTTGCCCTTCACCTGCTCCAGCTGGAAGTAGGACAAGGCCTGGCGGCGAGCCATGCGACCGGGGGGTACGAGCAGTGCGGAAGCTGCAGCCACCGGGCCGGCCTGGCGCAGAGCCGGGAGCTTGGCCTTTCGGCAGGGCTGCCCGGCGGGCAGTCCAGAGCTCGGCCTCGGACGGTGAAGCAGGAAGAGAGCTGCGTGCCACGGCGCGCGCTCGCTCTCGCCGCCCTCCGCTCGCAAGGAAAATCTCAGCTTCGGCACCCGAAGATGCGATGATATCTTAGGATCTGCAGCACGGACGCGAAGGTCTCGGAGTCCTCCGCTTGCTTGCCCGAACTGTCCGATACGCAACACAACGACAAGATCTATGAACGAAGGTATCCCTCCTGGTCAATCCGCACCGCGTTGCCGACGAGGTCGCTCTCTTGGAGTGTCCAGTCACCACCTCGGATACCCAAACGTAGAGGGAAATTTTTTTTGGGGGGGCATCAGGTTCCCAAAGACCGAGCACTTCCAGACTTAACACTGCCCGAGCTCTGCACCAAACCAACGCTCAAGCATTGAGCCCGTACCTGGCTGATGTGGCCAAGCAAGGAAAAAAACCTACAGCCACAAGGATCCAATGAAGCGCTACTGTCTTTGACTTTGGTAAGCTGAGTGACAGTGTAGAAGCGTGGCGCGGCTTGTGGCCAGGATCCGACCCGCGGCATTGAAGTAGACCTGGCACCGCTATGCACTTGGCCTTCTGGGGTAGCAAGGACAGCTTGATATACTCCAACATTCCCAGAAATGCATGGCCAACTCAGCCAAGCCACGATGTCCTAAGCACAGCACAGATGTACAATCGCGCAGCATCGGCCGAGTCTTGACTGTTGCGTGCTTCTTGCTTCCAAGCCTCTGGTTGCTGCACTTCAGAACTACTTTGGGGCGTAGCAGCTCTGCCACCAAGCAGCCGTATGCCTTCCGAAAAGGAAAAGTGGAAGCAATCCTCCAAACACATCCAATGATGCGCATGCAGTAGTTGCAGGCAGACTTGCGATTGACAGCAAGACAAATGCTGCCATTTCTCGGAAACAATGATTTTGGAGCTGGTGCCTGTGCGTTCCGTTTCCAATTTCTCCAGTTGGTCCTGGCAGCTCACTTCAGCTAGTCAAGTGATGGTCAAACTGGGGTGCTTCAAGAATTGCTCCAGCCTGAGCTGCACTTCTCCTTTGGTGCAGTTCTTGGCCCTCCTTCAGTCGAAGTGCAAAAACAAACAAACGGCTGAGATGCAAAAGCCCAAGAATAGAAGCGGTCCTCCTGGACGGCGCGGATGTGATCCGCCAGGAGGCAAGCAAGCCTGGACACCGTTTGTCAACGGAACAGCCATTGCACTCTGTTTCCGGTCATGGGTGTCATGCGCCAACGCGTGTTCTTGGCAGACCCTATGTGTGGTCTGAGCAGATCACGTGTGACAACCAATCAGGTATAGACCCAGGGCCTGCGACCCAACATTGAAAACTGGGACTAGCATCTATGCAGACAAACATTCGAGCCCAACCAGAACTGACAAATTCTCCGCTTGAGACACATTTCCGAGTAAGCGGACCGACGTTGAACTTCCTGACGGTGTTTTCAAAAGTTCGACCGGTCTGCCAGGTCTAACGTGGACGTCATCCTTCATGCATCGCGAGCTTTGTTGCAACAAGTTCTCGACGGATACTGGACATACACGTCAAGCGTGCAGGTGAGTATGTAGGTCTGCAGTCATGCATGCACGCATTCGGCCAGAAAAGCCCGATCTGCATCGCAAACTACTGCAAACGTTTGGCTTTCCGACGAGCCGCTCGTCGATCTGTGATGATTGCTGAGAGGTGAGCCTGGCTTGCAAAGGCGTCTGCCAAACATTTTCTGCACAGGCAAAGCCACCATAATTCGGGAAACTCTCACACCCGACAAAACTTACCTGACTGGACAAGGAAGCCAGAACCATGGAGGAGACCGCCACCAAACCTGCAACCCCACCTCCAGCCCTTCCTGTGTGAAACTCAACTCAAACATTCTTGCTTGCCAAGGCACTGGTCGCGGACCGGCATCCCGTTACACATCATCACCTCTGAGTATGTAGCGTGCAGCCGGTACCGAGTCTGATTCCAATGCCACCAAGGGGCTGGTCGGTAGCATGGCATTGAGTTTCGCACGCTCTCCATGCAGTTCAGCCAATAGTCACCTAGTAGACTTCCGAGCGCAAAGTACTGTGACGAGATTTTTCGATATCTCGTGACTCGTTTGCTACTCCCCACTTATCATTTGATGTTCAACGCTTGCCGCTCCGAGTCAGGTTCTATGGCACCTAGGGCTAGCGGAATGGACAAACAAATAGATAGGCAAAGATATCTAAACACACGGAGACGGACAGAAACCGATAGATAGATAGATCGATCGATGAATGGATGGATAGATACAGGGATAGATGGATAGATAGACAGATAGATAGATGGAGAGACAGAGAGACACAGAGATAGAGAGACAGATTGACTTACAAAGATAGAGAGACAGACAGGTATTATAGAGCGAGAGAAAGAAAGATAGACGGAGAGGTAGAAAGAGCGAGACACAGTCGGAGATAGAGATAGAGAGGTAGATATAGAATTAGACATAGAGATAGAAGTAGAGATAGAGTCAGGCAAAGGTTGATAGAGAAAGAGATGGACATAGAGATAGAAATTGAGATAGATAGATAGACAGATAGATAGACAGCTAGGTAGATACACAGCTAGGTAGATACACAGCCAGGTAGATGCACAGCTAGGTAGATACACACACAGACAGCTAGGTAGATAAACAGCTAGGTAAATACACAGACAGACAGGTAGATAGACAATAGACAATAGATATAAACGCATGTAGAGAGGTCACTATGCATGTGTGTGTGTGTGTGTTTACACACACACTCATACATAAGATGTAACTATGCACACATGCATAAACACTGTCACGTATCCTTACTTATGTATGTGTGAAATGACTATTATGCATGTCTCTTTGAATGTGTATGCACACTATGTACATGGGCAAGTCCCCCACCTGCATCTCCCAGAATTCCTGCAGACCCCACCTACTAAAGCACTAAACGAAGAAACCATTGCACTACTCGTTACTGTTCACGAGGCAACCATTTCGCCAATGAACCATTTTGAGATTCACTTCCCCCATGCTTCGCCAGGCCCCGAACCACTCACAACTACAAAGTGACTGGCTCGACATAGTCCAGAAGCAAAGGCATTGACGGAAACTACTAACTTTTGTTGAAGATGATGTTATTGCTGCTCTCCTTCTGCTTCTGTTCAACAACGCACAACTGCAGGAACTTTCATCAGAAACAAGTTTCGCAACGCGCGGTGCGCGTTAGGTCACCGCTAATCCAGGTGCTCTGAAAGCTGATATGGGTACTGGCATTCACAATGTTGACGCCTTTGTTTCAAGCAGCAACACGCGAATTCGGGTACTCATAATCGTGATGGTACCGGCACGGGTAATGGCAACAGCAATAGGAACAGTGATAGTAGTGGTAACGATAGTACTTGTAAAGAAAATAAGCATAGTAAGAACCACGGTATACTTGTATGCATATGTCTGCGGATTTTGCTTACGTAGATCCAGCAACGATGTTCATGTCCATTCTAGTCCAAGATTGAAGTTATTTTTGGGCTGTCTTACTCAATGTGTGGAATCAGATTGTAATAGCAGTTATAGTAGGGACAAAACAGGCAAATTCTAAATGCCCTGGGCCCTATAGCGATGATGACAATAAACGAAAAGCTTAGACAGCATTTGACATCGCAGTCTTTCCAGACAAACGAGAAAGGTGACGGTGATGCCGACAAACCTTGGCCCTTCAATCTAGAGCTCGCAGCCGTGGTGCGAATCTCGTCGGTTGAAAACTCCTTTGCATATTTGCAGAGAATCCTCAGGGAAGAGCTGCATTTGCAAAGCAAGTCTGCTCCTTCATGAACGGAGGACTTGCCGCCAAAGATCTCTGTGTATGTACAAATGGCACCATCCTCTGGGTCCAGCTTCACCTGCCATGAGTCTCGGCGGATAGAGGTCAGAGACATGCCCAACAGAGGAGATGTCAAACAAGCCTGCATCTAAAGCAAAGCCGCTGCCTCTACTGGGTGGTTACTTGGTGGAAGGGAGTTGAGTTCTGCAGTTCGTCAACATGAAGCTGCTTCCACAAGTAGTTTGCTTGTCTTGTTGTACAGTTGAGCAACTACTCTTCATGTTGATGCTCCGTCCTTGGGCTCTCCAACGATTGTGGCAGGATCTTCCGCCAAGCCGAGAAAGCGCAGCAGGAGGTCCTGGAAAACTAAAGGCTCTGATCCGCGGTTTGGTGCTCACAATGAATCCGACCTTTCCTTCATCTATTTGTCTACAATGTTTCACAAACGACGTAGTTCGGCGCGCATTGGGAAGGTTTCGATGGAGTAAGAGACAACTCACGAAGAGCAGTTTCATGGCCGTTTCGGTCCAGGCCCCAGGTCTGCGGCTCCGAGGTCTCCGGGGCACGGCGGCGTTCCGATTCGGCGCCTTCCTGAAGAAATCAAGTCTTATCTCGAAATCCCGGGGGGCTGTGCAGAAGGCTTACTACAGGCAGAGACAAAAACTACTGCACATCAGGTTCTCAACAAACATCACTCGGCCCCGTGCAAAGGCCCAGTCCAGCACGCAACGAAACTGTGCAGGGTCCTGAGCCGACCACAGTAGATTGATCGACCATGTGGCACTTACTCCATTGAATTCAAGGCTGTGGCTAAGTCGAGGAAGATGCGGCCATCATCATCCTTAGTTGAACTGCCCCTGTACTGAGGCAAGGTCTGACGTCAGAAATGCGATACCCAGACAGGAGACGAGCCTGTGCAGACGAGCTTCCAAGCTTGTGTACCCGCCCCAGCGGCCAGTTACAATCGAGTGCAGAAGGGACTTGGGAAAGCAATCAAACTGCTCTCCTTGGAAAGGGGTGACAGCGACATCCATAGTAAAACACGAGGAAAGGCACAACTTCGAGCTTGATGCGCCGGTTCTCGGACAAGCCAAGGCACTAAAAAGCTCGAAACCCGTGTCACCTCCCACGTTGAGCCTCACAGCGCCGGTCCTTGGCAACAGCCGTCTCTCCACGACAGGAGCATGGCGCCGTGCATCGCCATGCTGCCAGAGCACTCCGCAGACTTAGGCAGCGCCTCCTCTTGAAGTTCGGCCACTTGGGCCTTGGAAATGCACGGATTCGCTGCACAGGCCAAGCCTCACACGCTGGCCTCAAGTTTCTCGACTTCCAGCCGGAGCTCATCGAGGTACTTTCGGATGGCCTAAAACAGGACAAGCACCGTGCAATGCGCAAGAAAATAACCGGTCTGCAAGTTGGAGCCTGAGCCGACTCGTCACAAGTCGTCCGCCGGGGCTTCGCTTCATCGCTTGCCATCACGAGAGGTCAACGAGTCGGCGCTTAAAGCACGTGTTGTCGAACTCTTCGGCAAGCTTTCTCCGGTCTGATCTAGAATCTAGCAGTCTCTGTTGTATGAATGCAGAGCAGGTACGCGCACTGGGTCTTGCGGTGTACTGCGACTGCCACTATCTGTCAGGCGATGCATTGTACCCTCATAAGCCGCGGAGATTTTCCTGAGGCAGTGACGACCCAGTCCCTCTATCAATGCTCCAGAGCAAAATGCAGCGGAGACTGCTGTTCGCAGCCGACCGCGTGTGGTTGTAGGCGCTCGCTTTCTTGTTTATGAAAGCCCGGCTATTCCTGCAAAAAGATATGTGCCTGCTCTTACTCCTCCATCCCCGCTGTCTCGTGTCCCGTCTCCTCCTTCCTATGCGTTGTTTGTCCCCCTGTCTGCTACGCAACCATTACTTAGAACTTGGACGCTGTGGGCTGGGAAAGCCAGGCCGAATCAACCTTGCCGGTTAGTGCACTAAATGGTCGCACTGTGCAAGCCAACTCCTGCCACGAATGAAACGGTGTGGAAGCAAAGGCTACATCCTGAGCACATGGGCGTACCACTGTCGTCAGAGCGCGCAGTCTCGGTTCCAGAAGCAGCGGCCCCTGCCGAGATCAAATTCTAATGCCAAAGTGTAACCGTGCAACGGTCGGAAGGGAACAAGACCCTGACATCGCAATGTCAGCTTTCAAGATGCGACAGCCTGGCACGTCGATGGGCTCCACCGGCTGGAGCTGCGAATGTTGCGGCGAAATGGAACCTGTGCCAACTATTCTCACTGGATGCTGTCGCAGCTGGGAGGTCAAAGCAACCGATCTCTTGTCAATGAATGTTCTGCACCAACTCTGGGCCGCAAGCTCAAACTGAAGAGGCCACCCTGGTTCAAGACTTCAGGCGGACAAGCCTTGCCGGCGGCACGACAATACGGCTAGCTTAACTTCAAAATGTTGAGCTTAAGCCACTTGACGCGGTTCTAGGATGACTTCCAGACTGCGAAACAGCAAGATGCAAGGGCTTGAAGCTCTACTGCACGACCATCAGCCTTAGTCTTGATGTTGGTCGTAGCGGAGACCCCCCAAGCGTCCACAATCCGGGTTCTGCCAGCACAAACCCCCAAGAATGAAAGACCGCAGAGAGGACCAGTGGAACGGATCTCTCGATGGGTAGTTCGTGCTCTCCTCAGGTGTCGAGTCAGACGGATGCTTTGTTGAACCACCGACGCATCGAGCCGAAAGGAGGACTGTCGGCTCCAGCCTAGCTTGCCATTTGTGAACACAAGCGCGTTGCACACGTACCTTACCGTCCCTTGTCTGCGACATGCTGGCTGCTGTTCCTGAGTGTTGTGGCGTAGGCAGAGTGGGCAACAAGATCTCTCAGCCTGCGCTGGCTGGGAGGCATCGAGGGCAGGTTCCCGACGGCTAGGATGGAAGGACCTGTCCAGGACCCCATCAGCGAAGGCTTCGCAAGCTAAATTCCACAGAATGCATCTCTGAGGCTCAGCTCGGAAATGTTAAATGCGACGGCTCTTTTTCACGGAGTCTGCACGCTTGACTCCTGGGTCTGGGACTGCAGGGCCATTGAACTGTGACCGCCACAGATCCGGCTCTGGAAAACTTGGACTGCAAACGGCTCCTTGCAGGATGTATCCATGCTTTATGCAAAGACCAAGTACATGCCGGGCAAATCGCACATCCTTCGCGGTTCAAGCTGCCGGTATGCTGTCTCTTGCACAAATTGTCACTCCCTGTCTAGCTGTCTGGCACGTCGCGGATACAAACAATGAGTTTGACCTGTCACCTGACACCTCGTCGTGGAAGGCAACAAGCGGGTACGGACGAGCACGCCCGCATGCTCGAATCTTGTCAGAGAGTATGCATCTCATTGACGCCTTGATATCTCAGCCCCACCAGGCCGCATCTAAACATTTTCCCACAACCGTCTGTGCTGGTGCCCCTGTGGCCAACTAGCCGACCTGTGGGAGCCTGTGGTAATCCCAGTAATCTTCACAAGCCTATTGATCAGCTCACGGGCAAAAACTCAGACGGCTCCGGAGCTCTGCAAAGGATTTGAGCACTTTCTCAGTGGCGGTGGTAGAAAGTCCCGGAGCGGTCACGACCTGCACCACACTGGCAGGACCGTAGACCTTTGTATTTCAGACGCAGGCTTATACAGAACTCTCTGAAGAAACCTCACACCATGCCCCGTCTTGCAGGCAGGATCATAAGCCGAAACAGGCTGAACCAGCAGAACTAGCACCTTCATCGACCAGGTCGTCCGGGTCTTCCACATCGACATCCGCGATCTCGGGGATGCGCTGGATCAGGTACTTCCTTGGAGCCACTCCTACTTGATGGAACGACAAGCAGCATTCTTTGGAGAAGGCGCTTCACCCGCCGGAGGACGTCCTGCATTGCGCACATCAAGGACGCAAGGAGGCAAAAATCTGGACCCCTCAGCATGCGGAACTGTCCGGCAGGCATCGCACAAATCCAAGAAAATTGGAAAGCGACAAACACAACTCCGTGCATATCACTGCCCAAAACGTTCAGCGCTCTTACTTGGCGAGAGTGGCATCCCCACCATGTTCATACCCCCAAGCACCCTGCCAGTCCGTGGTGTGCGAAGACTCCGTCATGCCCGGATGAAACGTGCAGCATGCGCTTCAATCCCACGATTCTTCATGCCATGCGATCGCTTGCATGCGAGGCGAGATCATGTCGCAGAAGGCTCCCAATTACGAGTACCTTGTCCCGACACACCCTCGAGCCTACCACTTAGCAACATGATTAGACGTGGGCTTCCAGCTACCTGCCCCCTTTGCTGGCTTCACCCGCCTCGCGCTTGTGCCAGAATGCACCGTACAGGTGAATGATCACCATTGGGCCCTCCACCTCCACAAGGTCGACCTTCGAAAAGGTCTGCTACTTTCACGTTGGACTCCTCAACACAAAGAAGAAATTTCCAGATACTGGCCCGAATGCAAAAGGAGATGCCCTCTTATGGCTGTTCCAGGTGTCCACCCAGGATATTGCTGATTCACATGCCACTGTGCAAGTGTACAAGTGAAAACCACGGGTTCACAAGATTTCACAAGAATTATCCTGCCTTTTCAGGCAACTGGCCCACATGTGACTTGGGACGTTTTCTGGACTGAGCTTGAGGGCTGACATGGGATGATTCACGTATCCAGCAGGGGTCCCTGCAGACTTCTCCTGCAAAGCCTTCCCAAAAAAATGTTGCTTCACATACTTCTCAACGTTATTCGCGCTGGATATTTGCACATGTGCGTGACCCCGAGCTGTCCCTACCTTGACGCAACTAACATCTTTCTTGCCAAGATACTTTTCCCGTGATGCCAGCACCCCTCAGCAAGATCAGAACAGAGGCATCGCGCGACTGCAACCAAGCTGGTCCATCAGCTAGGCTCGCCACGTGCTCTCCTCTACATAGCCAAAGCAGTTTTGCATGTGATGGTACCGAGCCTCCTGAAGGACTACCTGCACAGTGGCACAGAACGGCAGGCTACGGCTGTGAGCAGCATCAAGCTGAATCCCCAGAGCCAGAAAGCACCTCCACATTTTCTTCACTCAGCGTCAAGGGGATTCCAATTGGTTCAGCACCTGGGACCTGTGAACTGTCGCAGTGCGACATACTATCAAGTTCAGCACTGATGAACTGTCTCACAAATGGTCACGATTGGGACAAGTCTCTGCGCGCAGAGGGATGGTGGATCTTTGCCGGTGCGATGTAAAGGATGCAGATGGAGCCTTGGCGGGGATGGCATGATGACAATATATATTTTTTGTGAGGCATGCCCCTGTCTGCCAAATCAGGCTTGGCTGCAAAGGCGACAAAAGTAGCGAGTTTGACCAGCAACGCCTCAAGACGACAGCGAGCCTATCGTTTACATGAACTACAATATCATGAAGTCATGTCGCACTCAATTAGTAGATTAGTAGAGCCTCTCTCAAATCTCTCTGCCAAGTGGCTGCCACAGCGGCTCCAGCAATCTTTGACCGCATGGCGAGAAAAGCGGTGCGAGAGGTACCCAGAGATCTTTCGACGGCTCATGTGCTTGTTTGCTATGTCACCAATGTCAACCGGTCATCTGTTAGGATTGATGACCCTGATTCGCATGCGCTGGGCTCACTGAGGAAGCACGGGTGGAGCCAGTGGGCGTAGTTCAGCGGCGGGCCTTTCCCTCGACGAGCCCGGAAAAGCGCCAAGCACCCGTTCGAAGTGCCCACGGCCGCCTGGGCTCATGAAGAGGCCCCCGCGCTCCCAGCGCGCCCATCGCCTCGGATGCGGCGTGGAACCCGAGCCGGGCCCAGCAGTGCACGGCCCTGCACTCGGCTCCGCACATCCCACTGAGCGTCCATCTGTGGGAAACCATGGCCTCTCCGGTTTCCAAGTGCTGCCACATGCACCACATGCACGATTCACAAGGAAAAAATCTCTGTGCAACCTGTTCCAGAGAGTTGCTGATTCAGGTAAGGCAGCATCATTCGCTTCCTGCCCTGACAAGAGGCACATGTGTCTGCAGCGATCAGCCTGCGCCGGCCCAGTAGGAGGGTGTTTCCTGGCGAAGAACGTGAAACATGGTCGCTGCATGTGGTCCCCTTGTGCACCTGCGCCGGGGCCATCAACTGGCTGCTGGACAGGCGGGATGCGTTTGCACGGGCCTGCACCCCAGGCCAGAGCAGCAGCTCACATTCCATCCAACTTCTTTTTTCAAGCAATTAAGGACAGCGACAAGTCCCGATTCAAGAACCCGGATCAGACATGATCTGCGAGTCTCACAGCTTTTTGTTACCCCAAGCGGATCACGGGGCGTGGCCAAACGGACGCGCACATTTGCGCCCGATGCGAATCTGTACTTGGCAGCGGCATTGCATGCCGCGCACCACACCGAGCCTCGAAGGAACCGATAGCTGCTCATCTTGTCTGACTGAACTGAGCCGGAACATGGAAAAACTCGGCCCAGAACGCCCATCGGGGAGTTGCAGTTGTATGTCAACAGTGACCTGCAGGAACAAGTCCGCCAATCTGGCACAGATGAGAGAAAGTTGCTGCTTCACAGGTAGAATGCCACTGTCGTTCATAGGGAATGCAGCATGTGGCAGGTGAAGGTACTGCAGGAATCACCTCATCCAAGCCTCGTCGCACTAAGGATGAGCAAGGGATGCCCGATGTACCTGCAGCCACTTGAGAGAAAAAGCAGCGTTGTTGAAGAGCTCGACTTTCAAGCATCCCTGCCATGCCTCGCGCTCGAACCGCAGAAGCGACCTGTTGCGAGGGTTGCTGAAGAGGTCTGGACCTGTTTAAACCCTCTTTCACATGTCACTACTGGCAGCTTTCAAAAAAGGATTGTGAGGTTGCAAGCGCTGGCATCACAAGACAACACCACTACTGCCTGCTGGGCGTCTTCTTGCGCGATGCTGTGCAGTTGCGGCCAGCCCGACAAGCTCCACGGTGACGGGCCCATCGTTGCAAAGATCCACCTGCCTAGTCGAATGGAAAAGCCGCAAACAGCCAGGCAGCCTTCAGAGTTCTGTGTCAAAATTCTCTGTCCATGCATCGAAGCTACATGTCCGCACCGAACTCACCTGTCTTCACCAAGCCTTCACCCAGCTCCTGAACGAGACAAGCTGAGTAGTACTTTCCGCTCCGTGCACGGACTTCTTCTTTATGGGTACGGGTACAGTCTCTCCTTCTGGCAGGTGGCCACAAAAGCTTCGTAAATGGGCTTGGCCTGCACAGCTCGAGAGGGTCTGCTCGGCAAGATGTTGGGGCCACCCAACATCTCAAGAAACCGCGATCATCCCCTTATTGTTCCGAAGCCTCGAATCGTAGTCATATGCCGGTGTTGAAGGAAACTCCTGGTTTCGTCAGTCAGCTGCACTGTCCTATGATTATGCTACGTGCTGCCCTTGCTGCTCGTTTACCTGGCCATATTGGAACAGGGCACGTCTGTCGCCCTGCCCTAGGTGGTGAGGAGCTGGGTAATGCTTGGGGGGTCCTCCAACTACTAGAAGATCGCGACAAGATGAGTTCCCAAGATTCTGCTACCGACCTCTCCGCTCGACGCCCACTAGGGCATCCTGTCCAACGAACTCCCGTAGCTCACGGTTTTCTGTCCGATTTCCCCTTGCAGGCTGAAGGGCCCCAGCGGCTGCTGAAAGCTCCTACACTGCTGCAGAAGTATTGTATCTGCCGGAGTTGCCTTCAGATTTCCAGCAGCGACCCCAAACCTATTAACTCACTGGAGCTCTGACTCGTGACCTCCGGAAGCAACACTGGTCCTGAGCCCTCTCCAATATCGGATGTATTCCTGCTGATGGCAACCGTGCCCCGGCCGACTAGAGTCGGCCTCGTGCCCAACAGCTCTTGACCGGTTACTCTTGGCCTTCGAATGGCCACTTTTCCAATTAGCCCAATTCGTCGTGCATTGCAGGCCTCGCTGGCGCCCATCGCGCGATTGAAGTTGGGCTTCGTACCTTTGAAGGTTGCGAAGAGGGTGAACTGGCTCACGACCTAAGTAGGCATCTCACACGGAGCCCTCACGACCTATCCCAGCTTTCGAGCCAGATGCCAGTACGGAGTAGCTGTTGTCAAGAACCTGAGCTTGATTCAACATGCGAAAGGTCAACAAAGGCTTGCTCCGCAATTTCGCAGTGGAAACTGGCGGGCTGACAGAGCTTGCCCAGCTCTTCGAAACATCCCTGCGTGGACTGTTTGGAAAGATCTCACATAAGCGATGCTCAACCCACAGCAGCATTAAGAAAAGTGACAGTTCAGCAACAGTTGCAGCATCGGCCTGGGATCAGGCCATAGACGCAACTTCCTTACAGATGAGTCATCTGCGCAAAAAGAATGCTGTCTCAACCACAACCTTCGGTGTTGTACTCAACATCTCCAAAAAAGGCGATGAACAAAATCTGCCAGTGTGTAGACGTAAAGCAGTTCATTAACACCCACCACTTCAGGCCCTATAGAGTCCCAGGAACCATTTCAGGGGCACTGCTGAAAAGAGCTTTTGGACTTCGGGCGACTTCCACCCCATGGGGCCACCAAGACATCCCAAAACAGGGGATGTCTTGGCGGGAGCGGGATTCAGTCAAGTTGAACAAGACCAGTTCGCATAACTAGCATTTACAATGAATCGCACGGCAACGGTTGTGCGCGCCGCAGCACGCACCTCCGTGGACACTAACATCTGACGGCTCCCTCCCAGTCGAAATCTCATATTTTTGCTGCGAGAGCACAAAAGTTCCGCATGCTTCTGCGACACGCCACCACCACTACATAGCTTTGGAGATATAGCACCGTTCCACTAAGCTGTGAGATGAAAACCGGGTTTGACGGTACAATGTACCGAATCGACCCGAGTGTAACTTATATGACGATTGGGATAGTCCCGGGCAAAACGGCGAAAGCCCTACTCAAACAGGCGTGCAAGCACTGCGAAGGCTCGCTTATCGGAGGGGACGTTGATTTTAGGTTCGTCGAACAGTGTCCAAGTTTGCGCAGCACTCAGACTGGTCGTTTGACGATGTGTGTAATCTCTTTATCTACATTGCAGCGAGTGACCCTGGCGCCAAAAGGCAGAGAGACCGAAACACACACACTGAGTCACTGAGGGCACTTCAGCGCCAACTTCCCAGCAACACACTGGGCAAAGTACGTAACGCTCACACCACGCAGCTCAGGTCAACGAGAAGGCCAGGCGACTTGGGACATCGCCGGCTCAAATGCTGCTTGTAAAAACTGCTAGCACGCGCTGTCGATCCCCGTTGCCGCCCAGGACACACGGGGCATAGGCAGCACGGCACGCAGGGACAGACAAGGCCACAAAACGCAGCTCCTTGTTCGCCAGCACAAAAGTTTAACGTGGGATAACTGCGGACTGCAGTCTCCGCAGACAAAACATGCTCGCGGATAACATCGTCCCTCCAAAACAGCACAGCCGCCACACGGGCATGCTATGACGTTCCACCCATGGGCGTTCAGAAGGCCAGCTGGCCAAATGCCAGGGCAGTGAGTAGAAAACGAAATCCTGATCGACACCACCAGACTCAGATACAAACCAACACAACATACAGTCCCATGTGCCACCCAGGGCCGAAGGAACTGGCAACGAAAAGGCCATGTGGGGTTCTACAGGAACATCAACTGGTAGCGAAGTTGACCGCCTTTAGCAGAGCAGGAACTGGTGGCGCCGAAGCCCATGCTCTGATGGCAACCTGCGGGCACACCTGCATCCGACATAGCATGTTGTTTCTATTTTGCATAAATTTCAACAGTGCAGCAGGCCCACCTATTGGGCACAAGGCTGTATAAAACAGTGACAGAGCGAGACGGATCACAACATTTCGACTCAGGGCATCCAACGCCGGTGGTGTTGTCAATTCCCGATCAAATCAGCGGCAATTTGACTCAAGCAGTTTGTGCGGTAAGACACCGGAACACTGCTAGAGTATTCCACAGCCGAGCCTACTTCGCAGTGCTTGCCAGTCTTTTATTTTTGAGGTTTGGGCTGCCCAGACATCGGAAGATTCTGCTTGATGCATGCAGGTGTCAGGGCCTTGGCAGCCAGTCTTTTAGCGAGCTCCACGCTGTCTCCCAGCGTGATCCCCAGCAGAATGACCAGACCTGCATCACGACTTCTCTGACGAGACTGAATGGCAACCGGGTCCCAACGCAGGCCTGGACCAATGTCGCCTGCCTCCACGCCCTCCACCATCACAGTGGCACGAGCCACGCGTTGAATTACCAGCTTCATTCGGCGGACACTAAAAATGCTGAGCATAGCCATACTTCACGCGGCTGCAATCAAGCTGGAATGTGACCCCGCATGTAGGGATTGGTCACGGCTAGTGTTCACTGTTCTTCGAACTTGTTGTTGCATTTCCAGCTGGGAGCCTGAACAGTCTTCAGATGGGACAATCCCTCAAGGCTTGCAGGCACTTGTTGTGTGGCCGAGGCAGGTGCCCTGTCAGCTGCCATATTGCAGAAATGCATTGGCTAAGGCCTTGAGCTTTGAAGCCTTGTTCTTCCAGCGCTGTTCACCTCGGAGCATGTGCCAGGGGAATTGAGTGCACGAGCTGCAGTGCTGGAGAAGGGTCGCATGGCAAAGGAATAGGCGTGGGTGTCACACGCCTTACCAGCCTTACCATCGGCTGCTTATGGCCTGTGCTGGCAAACACGTTTGTAAGAGCATGGCGCTTCACAGCCACCTCAAGTTCCATGTGCAACCTCTCTCAAGGCATGCTCCAATGCATGCACCATTGTAACCCACACCGAACAGCGTGCGAAACAGTACGCCCTCGCCTTTCGATCAGGTCTTTGAGAGCCTGTGTCGCCACGACCGTGTCACGCAAAACATCTCTGGCTCTCTGGCCTGGTTCTCGCGGTGCAGTTCCCATGGCTGCGAAGCATCCACTTGCGAGGCCTGGAGCAAGCGGCGACAGAAAACTTGACTCCGTGCTTCCTGTCGACCCTGGCTTTTTGGTGCCTCAGGGGCGAGAACCGGCTCGCTTGCAAGGCCTGCAGCAGTTCACGCCAAGACAGCCGAGGGTGAGAGTGCTTTGACTGACAGGATTGGTACTGCACGACTTCTGACTCTCTGGGTGACCATTTCCGTTGGAAGGCCTGACGATGATGCCAGGTGATAGTTTCCGACAGGAGTGTGCGTTCTCTGGCTCGACTCGCTGCGGCAGTTTGCCGACTCGTGCCCAGGACTGTCTGACTATCTCCCGCCTCTGGGCAGGGCCTTTGGAAGGCTTGCTGCGACACCGGGCATGGGCGGCACCGCTCCTACCTGCTCGACTGCTCGTGAAAGAATCGAAGCTGCTAGACGGTATCACTGGCCTCTCTGGTCAAGTGAGAGTCATAGGCCGCCTTGACCTGCTTTGCTGACACCAAGGACGGTTTGTAGTGGCACGACCCGAGCTTCAAGGCTTGAGCCCACATTCTCTTTTGTGCTTGGCAGCGTTCAGTGCTTGTGCCGGGCTGTTGCTGAACTCGCCAAGACATTCTTGCAGGCGTTTTCGGGGGTGGTCCCAGGAGTGCGGGCCTTGAAAAAACTCACGGTGGCTGGTTGGGGACAGGCAGCGGCCTTTCAGCTTACATGGAATTTCTACTCTCTAGAGGTAGGATAGAGCTGTCGTTGGCACGGCATTTGACGGTCTCAGACAAACTGCTAACATCACATGTTCAGGCGGTTTTCCTCACTCTCAAGCCGAGCCTTTCGCAACAAGGATCCAAACACACGATCGCGTTCAATGACCTGTCACGACAGCCCATGGTCAAACAACCACACGACTTTTATTGGATAGAACACAGAAGTTGGTGGCCTCTTCAAAGAGGTCACTGTAAATCTTGAGCGACTCTGATGCAGGCTCCTTGCAATTTGAATGTGGTTTGAACACGCTCACTTCTGCCAGTCACAGCTATCAGCTACCCGTTCTGCTGCGCCCTCCTCCTTCCTCGACAGATTGTCTAAACTGTCCAAAAGCTGTCTCTCGGCCCGTCCTGCGGGTAGAGCTCTGTCGGAACGCCTCGCGCAACATCAGCATGAACAGTTCTTGGATGCCCTTAGCTAAAATGGCCAAGGCATCTCGTGCGGAGCAATCGGCCTCCATACTGGCTGTAGGCGCTGCCTTGGTATGGCCTGATTGTCCCCACATGCGCAGCGAGGAAAAGAGGTGCTTCTGGACTTCGGGATCTCTGATGCTGCTCGAGCCTTAACTTCCACCTTGTCTTCACCCTGCTTGGCAGCAACTGAATTGTCAGGCTCGTTTGGGCAGCGTCCTTTGCATTTTTCTGGCAAGGGTTTGCATTTTCGGCTCCCGGCGATGATGCTGCAGATCGGGTGGCTGCTCCAGGCGTGGCCTTCAGCCAGAGGTTCCAAGACAGATGGTTTACCGAACAGGACTACAGCGACCTCTCCAGAGCTACAACAAGGGCAGACGCACTACACGGGCCGGACGTGCATCTCTGTTACTGAAATTTCACATCCATGTCCTGCTTGTTTCGACCGGTCACGACGAAGCTCAGCTGCGTGAAGTAAATATGTATGGCAATGTATGGGGCGATGTCACCGAACCGATTAGGAGTTACAGGTTGACCAACTTGCTGCAATGCACTTTGGCATCCATGCCCTGTTCCTTGTGATTTGTGATGGCAACCGTGGCACGTTCAAGCTTAATTTCGTCTGCTGCATGCGCTCGCCCGACATACACTTCGGAAGTGTGACGACCACAGTTGGCAACTGAACGGCCAATGATACCTTCTGTGCGACAGTTCAAGTCCAACAGTTACTCGCATGCCAACGACCATTCATGCCGATCGAACGGATTTCCGTGCCAGTGTTGTTCAAGCTTCCCCACGCAAGGTCAGCCGTGCTCTTTCGCTGCACTGACCGAGAGAACGAAAACCGAGCTTGTCTTGAACTCGAGCATCGGACGTAACCGCTGTACGCGTAGCCATACGGGCTGTTGTAGCCATAAGCTCCTCGGACAGCTACTGGAGTTCAAAAAGGACTGCTGCATCCTATATACTTGTCCAACCTGCTACGAGCACTACATGAAAGTAGCACGTAGGTACAAACATGACAAGGTCAACCCGGGAACCCAAAAACCATCCATAAAGCAAATCTCCCGAGCAGTAACACGAGAGTTTTCTTCCAATTGTAACATACTTCAGCAGCCCCACGCCGCACCCATCATCGCGAACCGCCCATTAAAATCCCCGTGGCGCCCGCACCGCACCCCAGCACCGCACTCCGTAAGCTGCCCACCCGCCCGATGAAACCCCGTCTGCACGCCGCGCAGAACCCCGTGTCGCGACCCGCCTCGCGGCGGACCCACTGGACGCTCAATACTCTAAACGCTTGTCGTCCGGACCCCAACCAGCCATTGCACAGATCCCAGGCCCTAAAGCTTTCCTGTCGCACACAACAGATCCTTCCCGGACCTTCGAGGCGATCGCCTCGACCCAAAATGGCCACGGGAAGATCTCACATTCAACAAATCCTGAACAGGCTGCAGATCACATGCAATAGTGTGACCCTCTTATCCCAGACCGACCTAACCAACGATAGGACAACATATACATGTATTGTGTAATTGTGTAAGTATTCGTTCATGTATGTATGTATGTATGTACGTACGTACGTACGTACGTTACGTACGTACGTAGGTAGGTAGGTAGGTAGGTAGGTAGGTAGGTAGGTAGGGAGGTAGGTAGGTAGGTAGGTAGGTAGGTAGGTATGTAGGTATGTATGTGTGTATGGGTGTGTGTACGTGTGTATGTGTGTGTGTGTATGTCTGTATGTATGTATGTATGTATGTATGTACGTATGGACGTATGTACGTATGTACGTATGTATGTATGTGCGTACGTACGGACGTATGTATGTATGTATGTATGTATGTATGCATGCGTGCATGTATGTATGTCTTTGTGTCTGTATGTCTGTATGTCTGTCTGTATGTCTGTCTGTATGTATGCATGTACGTATGTATGTACAATATATACACACAGCAACACATGTGTGCGTCTAGACATAGCTATCTGCCTGTCCATGCTCTGTATGCCTGGATTCGGCGACATGCATGCACATACTTGTCTTCACGCATGGCATGGTCCCCCCGTCCCTCACTAGCGCGGTCTCCTTGGCCTGCCATGGGAGCCTGAGGAGGCACGACACGCACATGGGACTGGATTTTGATTTCTGAGGCTTTGTCTTTGGCTGCCCGTTGGCGCCTGGCCGTGTAGCAGGACAAGAGAAGGGAGCTACTCTTCTAGCAAAATTTACAACGAAAAGCAAGCACCAAGCAAGATACCACATACCGCACTCTAGAGTCACTGGCCTCCTCGTCGGCTCAACGGATGAGAACGTCTGCTCCCGCAGACGCTCTGTCAGCCTTTCTCACGAGACAGCACACGGGAACTTGTCTTGGGCCAAAAGACACCAAACCTCGTGTCCATGTGGACTGCATCTTTGTGCGGAAATCCACGAAGCGGTGCCTGAATCACATTGTAACGATCCATAATTTAAGGAGAGAGCTTCTAGCAGCATCCTCTGGCATGTTCCGACAAGTCTTGACCCAGCCTGATTTCGGAAGCGGTCTCCGGGCCTGTCCGTCACACTCTGCTTCTGCCCCCTGCGCCCCCTTCCCATGCAGATTCCTAAGTGTCCTCTTCAGACCTCTCTTGGTTCTAATCATGCCAGTCAGGCGACACATAGTGCGGCGAGGCCTCATGCCTGGACGCCCACCCGCACGGCGTATCAACCGGCGGCAAGTGACAAGTCTGCCTTTGCATCTTCCCTGGATGTCTAAGCCAGAGTAATTCAAACACGACATGCCAGCCCGGCAATCGCCGCCGCGATGGTCGCCTCAGTGCAAGCCCAAGGCCGGCCTGAAAGCCTTCGAATCTGCAGTGGAAACGACCGTTTTTTCTCCGTGTGTGTTGGCGCGCAGTGAGCAGAGGCTTCAACTGGCCTCTGGGGTTGCGGTATTGGAGCAAAGTATGGAAGGCTGCCGTCTGCAAGGTGCGAAGCTGCTCTGGTCGCTGGGTTTAGAGGCAGCCGATGCACTCTTACCCGTGTCAAATCAAAAAACACAGCTCATGCCTTCACCTGGCTCTCCTCCACTGGGAACTCACGACTTCTGCAACAGCACTAACTGAAGGGCAGGAAGGCCGTGAGAGAAGGTCTCTGACTGGTCATCGAAACGTGAAACCGTCGCGACTGACCACACAGTCTTGCCACTCCATCTGGGTGGCAGGTTATATCGGCACATAGCTCGATTACAGCACACGCTGCAAGGCGCACGGTGGCTTCAACTGCTTGACTTCCACGTGCTTGCACAGGATTTGTTGATCTGAGAGATCTAGGGCTGGCTTCCTCTCTTCAAGCTCACATCCGCCGCGTGAAGCTGCAGCAAAACGGCCACTTACAACGACCATTCGGTCGATAACAGCTGATTCATAAAATTGTCCTGCACACGAAGCAACGATTGCAATCACAGCGTAACGCAACACACAGATGATTTCGCTGACAGATTTGTGAATCAGCTTGGTCGACAACATATTCTTTGTGTTGCCTAAGTGGCAACAGGCCTTTGGGCCGTTGGATCAATTTCAACATGGAAGGCTGAACTTCTGAACTCGAGCCATTCGGAGCAGCTGGCATCTGCGGCTCATGATAATTAGAAACAATGCAGCCTCGAGGAGAGAGAGAAAAAAAGGAGAGATGGAGAGAGAGAGAGAGAGAGAGAGAGAGAGAGAGAAAGAGATGCTACAGAAAAGTTGATGTTGGGCACATCAGCAGCTTCAAGCTCGTGAACTTGCGATACTTGGCTGTGTCCGCGAAAAAAGCTGGAGGGCCCTGTATAGATCTTGCTAGCACGTCGCGCTGATGTGACACTTCCTGCTGCTCTTCGCAAACCGACCAGCTATTCGGCAAGACAGTTGCGGGAACTGAGGTGCGGCTTGCCGAACAAGCCGAAGCTGTAGATGAGTATACTGTCAACGAGTGCAAGACTAGTGACTAGTGGAAATCAGATAATCAAGGATGTTCCCTGTGACAGACCCCGGCTCCCTTCTCCTGGCTTCGGTCGACGCGGCTACAGGTTGGGCTCATCAAGCAGTCGGTACTTGCGCTGCTATGCGCTGCTCTCATCACCGTGTCAAGGAAGGTAATCGGCATCTGCAACAGACACAGCAACGTTGACAAGACTAGCAGGCAAGTGACGGAAGTCCGTCTCAAAATTCCACATCCTGCAATCGCATCCGCATGGCCTCAGCTTTCCAGTGCCCACAAGCTGCGCAGCCCAGACAGCGCCTCCGAACAAGGTTGAGGAGTTGAGGCTTGAGCAGCACAGGCAGGGATGGCCTGATTCATCTCTTGCACGAAACCAGGATCCACATCCTGACGCGCGGCCAAGTCTACAAGCGGAGTTGTTCCGTCTGAGCTTCCTCAAGAATCGCCAAAAACATGATTGATTGATGGAACGGGACGACAGCAGCGTTCTGTACGGTTAGCCTGACTTCTTGCAATGCAAGGCCTTGCGCCGGAGCGCCATGCCGATCAGGGCGGCAAACGTCATCTTGCTCCTTCCAGGCTATCGGAAACACCATGGACACTAGCATTCATCGACTTCCTGATAGGCAAAGTTCAATGGAATAGTCATGCAAAAAAAGGACACTTCGAGGGCGGGAATCTTGAGGTTGCCTGACATTGCTTCGCAAATTAAGCTTTGCCCTGATCCCAATCATCTCGTGCTCGCTGACATGCAGCCAACGAATCCGTTTCCGGAGCCCGAACTTCGGAACCCTCTCCACGCCAAGCTCCAGAAAAGCAATCAAGAGTCCAACAGCTGAAGTGTGGACTGCACAGAAAGTAGAATCAAACAACGAACACTTCACCAAGCCACAGCAGGGCATCGAGCCTTGGACCGAAGGTAGAGAAAGGCAAAGACATGTATCCGACCATGTGGTCCCTCCTTGAAACAGACCTTTAGAACAACTTGCTTATTTCGCTTCAGGCGGTGCATGGAACAGTCGGTTCACAAGGCATGTCAGGCAGCGCTGCAGAACTTCGGCATCTTATTCTAACCTCACCATGCCCTGGATGTTACGCGCTCTCGTTCCCTCCCATCTCTGTGAGTCCTGTGCTGTCTGCCAAGTGCAAACCCTGACTGCAGTCCAGTAGCTTGCTCTGCACTTTCATCGGCACGCGTGCAGTAGGTGCTTCTGCATGTCGTTCCAGGATAGCCAAGACGTCCATAGCCAAAGGGAGAAAGCCCTGTGTCCCACATTCCAGGAAGGATGTTTTGGGCCGATGCTCAAAACAATATGCCTACACACAGTTCTCAAGGTGATCTGCGCGTAAACTCAGACTGCCTTCTCCTCGGCCTTCAGGCGTAAATGCCTTTGACACACACTGCAGCTGAAGTGACGACACAAAAATGGGTTATGGTGCCATGCCTGAGAAGCACCGCCATAAGCTCGCCGGTATTCAGCGTCTGCATCAACTCCCTGCACAGCTCAACCACCGAAAGAAATCTCGTCCGGTAAAACAACCGCGGCATTCGTGCCTCTGCCTCTTGTCTAAATGCGCAGGCCGCTGTGCATGCTGCATATGGCAATAGCCACACTGGTCCCCGTTCGTGCAGGATGATACCTGACCCGTCAGTCGGATTGACCACTCTGACTACGCCGCAGCTGCTGCAGATATGAAGCATGGCGTGTTGATTCTGAGAACCCCGATGAACACAAAATGGCAGCAACCATGCTCAGCTTCAATCATGTGCCCTTGATTGCTAATGTAAGATCTGTGTACTGCGATATATCCCTCCTTGCAATGCCAAAGAGCTGAGAAGTAGATGCACCTGATCAGCTGATGTGAGCAGGAGCTCAGGATCGGAATAATCTAAGAGCTCTACACAAAAAAAAGAAAGAAACTTCGGGGCCGGCCGACTCGACCCTCAGACTGCCCGCAAATGCTGGACAGGGCACGGCCGTCTGCAAACCTGCTGAAACTTCAAACAGAGGAGGGGGAGAGAGAGAGAGAGAGAGAGAGAGAGAGAGAGATGCAGAGAGGCAGAGAGGCAGACTCAGTGCAAACCTGCAAAAGTTTCTTGGCCTCTGGATGTCCCAAGCTCCCAGGGTTCGAGGCCAGGGAGGTGCCAGGTCCTGGCATTTTCGTGCTCAAGGTAAGAACTGGGACGGCTTTCCAGGCCTGCGAGCTCTTCGCTTTGGTCCATGGAGCCTTTTTGTCCCAGTCAGGGCGGCACAGCATGGAGAACGCTGAAGGAGAGGCCGGAAACACACAGAACCAACCGTGGGAACCATGGGTTCGGATTGAAGGCTCCGGGGTCGGGGTCGAGTCGAGGGTTCGCCATGGATGGGATCAATGTAGAAAGCAGTGGTCAGCTGGGTTTCTTTGTTACTTCACGTTTGTTTTTGATCAAGACAGACAGCCAAAGGAACGCCAGTGGCACAGTTCTCGGCCTGGCCTCGACAGGCTCCCAGGACCTCCCAGGACCCTCGCCCTCTTGGCTTCTGGGCCTTCCACCCATTCTCGGACGACCCTGGCCTTGTGAGATTTGGAGATTTGGCTAGGTTGCCAACAGAGGGCCACTGGCATAGTCCAGGACTGAAAGCATTTGTGAAATCCGAGAGAGCATTTCTGCTTTGGCACAAGGCGGAAGACTTGACAGTAGACTCTTGCTGCAACAGGAAACGTGCAAACATGAACACGGATCGGGATGCCAGCCTGGCGAATATGCTACCGGAGTCCTCATAAGCGAACGTGTGTGGCTGCAAACAAGAGACCATCCAAAGCGACCGAAGACCATGGGCAGGCCACCACAGGTCGAATGTACATGGGCTCCTGCACTGAAATCACAGAGGGGAGTGCAAAGTCAGGTCTTCGCTTCGCAAGCTGGTGAGCCCCGTCACACTCTCATATCGCAGTCTAAAAGACTTCAGAAGCATGCATGAGCCTGTTGTCAGTATTGAGAAAGAACATATAAAGCTGTGAAGCAGAAATATCAAGGTGACAACAGTTGGTCCGTCAGCAACGCCGCTGATGCAAGTGGAGCTGGTCCCAAGATGCCGGCTTGCCTCCAACTCGACTCTTCACATGGGGCCTTTACCATCCTTTACCCTTCACCTCAAGTCCCTTTTTTCTCGGCCGATGCAGGAGCACCGAAGCATCTCTCACTGCATCCAAGCAGCGCAGGCAGACCAGGCAGGCCAGGCACCAAAGCCATGGTCTAAAGCCGCGACTGCACTGTTGCGGCCTTTGCGTCAGAGTACCTCTTCCTGAACCAGAAAAGGCCGACGTGCTCAAACCTACACAGGATTTTTAATTTGCAGAATCAAGTTGCACAAAGCCACATTGACATAACTCAGTGCGACACCTCAAGCTACACTTACACAGACCTCATCACCAGTTCACCATCACTAGGCTGGCTGCTGTGGCATCGACGGAGCGGCGGTGGGGCGCGTGAAGCTCAAGTTAGAGGCTGAGGCAGATCGCCTGCAATGGCAAATTTCACTGGCTAGCGGCTAGACGAGACATTCACCTCATCCCATGTGCCTCATTCCTGGGCTTCGGCTGACGTCGTAGCTGGCCTGACTTTCTTGAGGTCATGTGCACTGGGCGCCAAACGAACATCGACTCGGGGAAATGGGACACCAGGCGGAGCGCAGGAACACGGCACTCTCGCAAGCTATCTTCAATGCTGCAGAACATGTATTACATCGTTTGAGTCATACACCTTTGAGAGTCTCTGGTAGGGCTCGAAGCCTGCAGCAGGGATACATGTTCAGGTATCTTCTGATGCCACGCCAGGATAACATAACAGTTGCACAAGTTGTCCAGTGAACCTGCCTGCATGTCCACCGGGTACCTGGCAGCAAGACAAGCTCTTCGAAGACAGCCACAGTCATTGAGGGACCGGGCGATTTTTGCAAGGCCTGTTGTCAACGGCTTCCGTGCATTGGCGCACGAGGCTTGGAGCACTGCTTTGTCGCAGCATTCCCATGGGCTCCATCATGGGACGGCCCTGACACTGGCAGGCTTTCTGGCTAAGCTATTGGTCTTATCAGACAAGGCGCACACCACATCCTATTTTGCCATGTGCACCTTCCCCCACGCGACCTCTGCTGTTCCAATGGAAGCCTTGGAAAGCTCGATCCTAATGACTCCACCGTGGGGAGACCGGACCCATGTTCGGCACGTGCTCAGCAATTTAAAAGAACTTCACCAGTAGTCATCTGAGTGTGCAGCCGACGGTACGGGGCGTCGTCGCGCTGCAGAAGATGGCCTGGGAAGGTGATCCGGCGCCATCCGGCACCCAAAGGCTGTGAAGCCTTAGGCATAATTACGCAGTCCTTGCCACGCCCAGGCCATGGGGTAGCGGCGCGCTTCCTGGCCTCCACCGTTTGCTTAGCCGACACAGCTGGGTTCTTGAAGATTCAGCTCGCTCTCTCGCTCTCACCTCAAGCTTCCCTGTGGCCTGCATTAGCAGACTGGCATTTTTGTACTTAAGGCCTTAGGGCGGATGTCACACTCCAATTATGGTGGGGGAGGCGGCCCTGATGACTTTCTGTCTCGGTGAGCTCCGAGACACAGCCGCAGCCCGTCACAGACAGTCACTGCGAAGGCAAGTTTCACTAGCCATGCTGAACAAGATTCGCGAGTGTTACTCAGTATCACTCGCTCTGGATACTCAATTGTCACTAACCCAAGCTGCACCAAAAAGCGATGAGCCAAACCCAGAAGACAACCCTGATTTCATACAAACTCCTGCCCCCAGGCTTCAGCACTCCGGGTTTGCCAGGACTGACGGCTCGTGCGGTCTGTCAATCATTTTGCGGACGCAGCTGCAGCCTGCGCCGTGGATCCAAAGCCATGGGTCCGTATGCACCTATCGATGAGCTGTGGAAGACGCACTTGAATCTTTAAGCAATGGCTGCAGGAATGTTTATGTGTTGCACATGACATAGATGTTTGCCCGTGAGCAAGAAGTCAGGCTGCAAAACAAGGCAAGCACATTCATGCATCGTAGATTTTTTGATGGCAGTACCACCAAACACTTTGGGGAAAAGTAGGTCAGAAGGAGTTCTGAATCTCCGCGAGAAAAGAGTTCTATCCCAAAGGAGGTAGCAAGTACTGTTGGCAGCTTCGGTGGCATAAGTAAGACTGCGCGCACTCACTAGGAGGCGCCCTGACATGTCGATAGGGTGGGCAATCATGAATGCACCGTGGTGCTCCAGTAAGCCTGGGTGCCTGTAAAGATTGCCCAAGATGAGGAGCTGTTGGAACAGTAATTCGGACAGCTTTGGAGCTGGATCAGTCTGTACGTAGCCGGAGGTGTCGAAATGCTGAAAAAGTCGTCGAGAATGGTCGATGTGCTGGACAAGACGCGGGAGACTCTAGTTGCGTAGCAAAACAACAGACAAAACTGTATCATCTGCGTATCCGAGATCCAATGGTAATGGAATATGGAAGACCCGGAGAGCTTTCCATCCTGAGCGGTAGACTGTTTGAACATTAGCACAAAACTCGAAGCCGGGCATGTCTGTTCCAAGCCTGTAGCGGCGATGATGACGAACCTCAAATAAGACTAGAGGGTCTGCTACAGAGGGACACAGCACCACTTTGCGTGACCAGGTATACCAAAAAACCATCATCTTGTCTACAGAGAAGGTGCCCAATCTTGGGTCGAAACATCTGCTACGGAACAAGACTCCTAGATTGCTTTACCCTTTCTCGCGTTCCTCTTCTTTCGCCGGCAAAGGCTGGCATAGCTGGCTAGTGACAAACCTTCGATCTCTGCGCCCTCTCCAAGTGGTCTCCACCTTCCAACTACTTTCGTCGATCTAGCCTTTAGGTAGGCTCGAAAGAGCACTGAACAGTCTGCTCCTCTAATTCTTATCTCCCAAAGCTTAAGACTTGTAGCACTGTCCACAAGTGGACGCACAGCAGTCATCTTGTATGAGGGACCCCTAATTTGGCTGTCGCCACAGCCGCTTTAGAACCTGTCTCTTACGGAGTCGCCTCCTCGAGGCTTTCCACGTCGACGCTCCGGGCCATGTTCCTCCGGTCCAACCCTTGGTCCAGAACTTTCGATTCGGCTTGCTGGCAGCGGAAAGCCGAGAGTCAGTTGAACGGACATACAGGGCAGACCGAGAATTTGGGGCCAATTGGGGCGGAAGAGGGGTGATAGGGGAGGTGCCCGAAGAATTCGATGCAGGTCTTGAGACAGGAGCAGGCTTCAGTGACTGAGCGAGGAGGATGGCTTGGTGTGACCCAGTCTGAGGGCGACCGAGGATGATCTTGCGCATCAGGAACCACGATAATCGGCGGGTACACGATCATCGACTACGTGAAGACGAGGTGGAGAAAAAGGCCCCACTTGGGACTCGAAAAGACGAGAAGTTCAACGGTCATCAAACCGAGCAGCTGGGCGTGCTGGTCAAACGCTGGGTGCGAGGCTGAAGGACAGGCAGAGATGCATGGTGTCTCGTTGCTGGATCGCAGTGCCATGGTGTGCCTGTGTAACGGCTGGGATCAAGATGAAGGGAGAAATGAAGAGTCCAGCGTTGTCCATGGCCCACGGTGTAACGTCCTCCCCCTTTAACCTCATTCTTTGAAGGAGACACGCGGTGACACAAGGGGAGCAGAGACAACGAAAGGAAAGACAATGCGACTGTAGCAAGTCAAGTATACATAAAAACCACATGCCACCGCAGCTTGACAGCACCCGTTCAGGAGCGGCTATAGTCAGCCAGCCTGCCAATGCAAGTCACAGTGGCGGTGTGGCTGTTGTTTGTTCGGGCTCCGGTCATGGAGCAGCAAGATCCGTGAGGATGGAAGCGCAGCACTGATGTGCCTATGGGGCGACTACTCGGCTTTCTCCGAGCTGTGGGATTGGCCTGCCTCGGCCTATTCATGCGAAGTACTCATGCGAAGACCTTGCCGGAGAGCAGCCAACAGATTGAAACCTCGCACATTAGTGTTAGACAGGAGTCTCGGGGAGGTCTTCTTGTCCTCCTGACCTCCGGATTCCAAACTTCACACGACCTGAAGAACGACACAGATCCCCAGAAGCTCTTAGCGCACGGAAGTTTTGCCTTCAGGCAGACCCCGGTCCGGGTAAGCGTCTGGAACAGTGGAATACAAAACCACTGCTTTGGGAATGTCTCAGCAGAGCAGAAGCAGATGCAAGTTCAAATTATGTTTTTCACATGCACAAGTGAAAGATACCCAGTAGCCTAGCGTTTGGGCATGTCATTACGACAATCTGGAATAGGGCTCCTGCGACTGCAGCTATGCCTGGCTCCGAGCAAGGCACGCTCGACCACCTCTTGAATTGAATATACAAAGAATTACCGCCAGACTGCAGAACTACGAGCAAAGCGGTATTATGATCGTCCGATCCACTGGATCTGACGAGGGCAACAACAGCTGCGCACTCCGTCCCACACGGGAGGTCGTTAAATCATGACAGGCTTCAGGCCAGAAGCACTTCGTGCCAGGATACTATTGCCTACCCAGTACATTGCATTCAACTTGGTTGAGCCTCAAGTTCTAAGCTGCATTCCGATGTAAGCACGCGATTGCTCGGTGGCACAGACAGACATATCAACTGCCATTCCGAGCCTTCACGTTGCTCGAAGAAGAGGGAGATGCTACGACTTATTTCTGGCCACGGCTTAAAGTCATCCAGCTGTGGATGCTCAGGTTGGAGGAAAGGTCGCAGGCAATGTCACAGCTCACCGTTGCTCGGAGCCTGAATGCTTTTCCGGCCTAGAAGCTCCTGACGCGATTCCTGCTGATTGGGATAGCCTATCCTGGTCTAAATCGATCCGTTAACTTTCACACTTGTCTCTGAGGCTCGTCGAAGCGCAAACCGAGGCCTGGTTGAGAGGGCATATCTGGAAGATTATGATGGTTATGAAAATCAGTCCGTGTCATAGCTGTGCGACCCCACCCCCCGGCGCTTGATTCGTCACCACAGCCAGGCTCTGGATCTTGTCTGACTCCATGCACGAAGACTGCTTACGACGGAGGCTTTTGGGTTGTTGGCTCAGCTGAAAATGCAGGGTACGGGCTTCTGGATTACAAGGTTTCCTCTGGGCAGGTTGGGTTGCGGGATTATGCGTTTCAGGGGTGAAGGTGCTTGATAAGCGTTGTGCTGCTGAGGCACCTGGTTGTCTATTGGGGAACAGCCAAGCAGCATACCCTATGACCAGCATCCCGAATTTGTGCTGGAGTCCTGGCCATGGAAGACATGGAAATTGGTATCCGACTAATTATGTCAGAGCGGCTCGGACAGTCACGCCGGTAGGACGCGGCAGTTTGGATTGTTGAATTCAGATCAGTATGACTATGAGATCTCACTCACGTGAGAAAGCCGCTTAACTGGGTGAAACCAACAGGTGGTCTAAATTTAAATGCCACACACCGACAACATGCCTCACACCTGCTGGAACCACTCATGCTCCAGCGCAGTGGGAATTGGCATTCTCGTCAGTGGATCGACGCACAGCAGTCCTGCCATCCGTGTATATGCATGACTTCCTGCCCACTCCATTATGAACTTAATGCATTTCTGCACACTGAGTCTTCACAAGACGTCACAGGCCAAACGAGCAAAAGATTTTGCATCATCCTAGCCTAATCTCTAGTACCGTGGCGTGTTCCACATCAAGCCATCGTGCTCCTTGCAGCAAGTCGATGACCTCATGAGAAAGCACCTGAACACGGTCTTTCGACCATGAGGTGCGGTGCTGGTGAATCACATGCTCTTGGCGCACAGTCTTACCTTGCGCCCTTTGTTCACCTATGTTATGTATTGCAGCGGTAGTCCCTCGAGACAACTTGATCCTGACACACTTCACAGAGACGATTTGTGCAATGTGCTTAAGACCTTCAGCGTGCTGCACGCTGACCATGGTGACGAGCCATCTCTTCTCAAGACATCCAGTTTGTCCTCTGCTGGCATCAGCTTCCGACATGTCAAATCCTTCAAATTGCCGACCTTCCAGCTTGCGACTAGCTTGCGGAGCACTGAAGTTATGCCCAATGAGCCGGGATCAGATTCACCGTGATACAAACGTTTTGTGACGGTGTGACGTGGTGTGGGCCTGGAACATAACAGACTGTCACAGGTTACCAAACTGCCAGGGTTCTCGTGTGTGCTGACTTTGCTCGCTGTTTTCGTGCATTCACGTCGAACATTCAGACGAAACTTTCAGATGTTGTCCACAGAACGGTCTCATGTAGGTCTCCGAGTCGGAGAGGTCCTCCGCCCAACGGAACCCTCATGGGAAACGTAGCTTGCAAGCATGACAGGAGAAATCGCTCCTTGCCGCTAAGTGAAGAAAATCTTGAAGCAATGAGCAATCTCCATGGATCCTTCTTGGAGGAATAGACTGCATGCTGTAAGACCACTTGCAACTGTGAACTCGACACAGTTTCTTTGACTTCCTTTGACTTCCAGACAGGCTTTTCTTT